TCAACTCAAGAATACAAGGAAGAAAAAATTTAGAAATAAATATACACTCTCAAAGTGTGGATATACAACTTGAAGCACTATGGGTATATGGATTTTCAAGATATGAGCTCAAATATGTTTGATCTTCGAAAGATATGAAAGAATATGCAAGTGATAGAGTAGAAGCTCTCAAAGTATGCTTAAGGTGACAACTCTTCCTCTTGTTGTAGGTTGGTTTAATAAATTCTGACCTTGATTCTGAGGGCATTATTTCAACATATGTCTAGACTTCGCACATTTAAAGCACACACCTCTTCTTGCCAAACATTCTCCAGCATAAATTTTCTTGTATTTTGGACATACCTGAATATGGGAATTCGTTCGACCAACAATCTTCTTCCCTCCATTGCTAGCAAAATTATTTCCCGAGTTTTGCGCCCGTGAAAACCTCCCTTTGTTGTTGTCATCATTTCTTCTCTGATTTAAAGCTCTATCTTTTTCTCTTCTCTCCCCAGCTTCTTTCATGCTTGCTTCAATGTATCTGTACCTATTTATTAATGATGGAAAATTCCTGATTTAGTGTCCTATTATCATACTTTTTAATTCAGGTTTTCGTTCATATTCAAATTTAGTTGTCAGCCATTCCTCATTAGGTTGATTCTGTATATAATTAGAATATCTGGATAATTTTGCCATATATTCTCAACAGTCATGTTTCCTTGTTTTAGTTCAAGGAATTCTATTTCTTTTCTGTTTCATACACTCTGAGGAAAGTATTTTCCAAAAAGGCATCTTTAAAGATTGTTCAAGTAATCTCTGTTTCTTGGCTTTGGAAATATCTTTTGGTATTTGTCCACCAATGCTCTACTTCTCCAATCAAGCAGTATGTGGAAAAATTTACACGATGAGTATCAGGACAGTCTATTACCAGGAATATTTTCTCAAGTTCTTTCACCCATTCTATGGCTGCCTCAGGGTTATGGTCTCCACGAAAAGTGGATGGTTTATGCTTACGAAATTCTGTGAGTCCTTTGTAGTCAGAATTACGTCTTTCTTGAGCATTGACAGTTCTAGGTCACTTTCACTTTAATTATTATGGGTGTGATTTCTGGTTGAACGATCCTCCCTCAGCTCCTGAATAATTTGCTGATTAGTTACAACATGTTCTCTAAGAGCTTTTGCCTCCCGGGTAAACGCATCAGTCACTGGGTTAACTTCTGGTTCAGAAGTTGAAGATGTCTGCCTTGTATCTGGCATAGATCTATATATATTGTTTTATGATAGTGAGTTGATCAGGCTCATTAAAATAACTCAAAATATGCATGATATATGACAAAATACCAAACAACTATAATAGCTTAGGTCCTTTATTTACCTTAACCGCTGCTCTGAAACCATAAAATGTAACATCCTTTAAAATTAACTCTTAAAGGGGATATTACATGATTTCTTTAAATTTATGTTTTCTCTTTATGTATAAACAGTAAGAAATAAAATGGAGAGGTATTAATGTTATTAATTATTATAGATTGATTTATTAAATTTTAATATTGATGATAAGAAAAATTAAAAAGGAACTATATAAACATCTACCAACGTTACTTTATAGATAATATTAAGTCAGGTACATACGGAAGTTATTTTACATTGGTCCTACATTCTACTAAATATTACATCACTTTAACTTATATTCTACATACTGGCATTACATAATTATACAATACAAAAGTCTTGTCCTAATCTAGTCTATAGGTATAGGCCTCAACACTTTCAGAATAGAATATTGCAGCAGCTCCTTGATTTCCTACTACAATATAGAACTCCATGCGGTCCTTGTAAGAGTAAACATTGATACTCCATCCTTCACCTGATAAGCTTAGACTAGGCATTATGATTTTCTGGAAAGATTAGCATAAAACAAACACATGTGAGAAAATTCTCAGTAATGAGATTTTCTAACTATAACCATTTCCAGCCGTAATAACGAAAAATACCATTCTCTCATATAATTTAATAAAATGAAATAATATAATAAATAATACGTTGTGTAATATTTAACTGAAGCTAAATAATTTTCCAATTTTTTTGGTTCTCTGCATATGAAAGATTTATTGTTGAGGAGCTCAAACCACGATAAGGCGTCTCTTACCCTATAATCGTCTAACCCAACTCTGTGGGTCAGTTCATAGCAGTCTTCATCAATTAAATTTATACATTGTCTTTGTAATTATTGGGTACCAACTAATTACTCCACTAGATAATTAGTATGTGAAAGGAAATAAAATTTAAAAGAAACTATAGATGCTGTAAGAAATGAAATTACTAAACAAATCAAACTACTGTAACGAAATAAACTCCAACTAAAGAATAAATACAGAGAATAATTTGGCAGAACAACAGAGGCTTGTAAATAAATCTTTGTTTTGAAAAAAAAAAAAAAAAGATAAAACTTTTGTTATCACCCAATATTACCTTCTTTTGATTCTATTTCCCTTTCTCCTCGAGATTTCTCTTGTTTTCCTCTCTTAAGATTTCCTTTTGTTCTTTCTTATTCTCTGTCTTTGATTGTTCTTCCCTTCGTTTTATGCAAGGATGTATTTATATAGAGAAAAATGTATTATGTGTATAGATTACGTAAACTCATATTACGTAATCTCTTTTTTTCTTAGATAATATCTACCTCATCTAATGATTGATTTGTTAAAAGAATCTTATACTTTCGTTATACTGGATATGTGGGGTGTTACCACGTAGCATTTTTAATTTCTACCATTTATTTTCAATTTATTATTTTGTATTGCATATATATATATACTTATCTATTTATATATATATATATATATATATTATTTTTTGATATTTTAATTTTTATTTATTACTATGTTATTTTATTTTATTTTTATTATATTTCTTTTATATTTATTATTTATTTATATTTTATTATTTAATAATTATTTTACTATTATGATATATATATATATATATATATATATATATATATATATATAGTAATTATATATGTATATACATATCCAAGCTAATTGCGCTTGTACAACGCTCAACACCTCCAACCTCTATGCTAGAAGCGCAGCCTCAGTGCTGAAAGCTTAAAATTTTGTTTTATATATATATATATATATATGTGTTTTAATGCAATTAGCGCTTCACTGAGCGCTCAATTCTTGGAAGGTTGGCGCAAAAGCACACACCATGAACTGTAAGCGTAATTTTTTTTTTTTAATATTATATTTGTTGCGCTTAATATCATAATAATATTAACGAACCGGGTGTAGAAAAGGGTTGTACATCTTCTCAAAAAAAATTTAATTAATAGCACCTAAAATCATCTATTTTATTAAATTTTTTATAGAGGGTTTCGTAATTGTACTTCAATTCCTTTTACATATTTATTCTTTTGGAATTTACATTAAAAGTAAATTAATTTTCCAAATCAAAATTAAATTGATCCTAAAATAATGATACAAATTTGATTTATAATTGAATTATTTATTCTCCAAATCTACCGTATCATGGAGATTAATTTTTTTTTGTTTTATTTAAATATATAAATAACTCAGCGAGGAATTTTTATTTATTTATTCCTAATTTCATAACTTTAATCAATCTGCTCACACGCAAAACTTTTATTATAAAATGTCTTTTACACCAACATGACACGGGTAAATTATTTGTGTCAAAACTCTTGACAACACTATCATAATTTGAATGAAAATCATTAAACAATTTTGAATTATTTATTAAAAATAAGATAAATAAGTAATTATGCAAGTATTTAATTTAAACAGATCAATTACGGGTTGACACAAACATAACACGAAAAAATATCCCCAATCCCTATTAGTATAATTTTTTGTACATACTTTTTGCTCAGCACAAATGCAAAAAATGGAAATTATTAACTAACTTTAATAATTATGCCTATGTTAAAAGATACTAAATAATGCACTCGATCGGTTGACTTAAACTCTCTCTCATTTTTTTTTATACACTTTTTTTTTTTTTGATGTGGATCTCTCTCACATTTTACTTAATGGAGAACTTAACATTTAATATAATTAACACGAGGCCTATGTATGAACAAATCAAATATCATCCAACGGCTAGGACATAAGTAGCATTCAGTTACATTTGAATAAAAGATTAATGAAATTTGAATATTGAAACATTGTTTGAATTTTTTAAACCAGGAATCGATTAAAATTTATGATTCACTTGATTTTTATAATTTCACAAGACAAAAAAATCAATCTGCATTGATGAGGTAGATTTTAAAAATGAATAAATCAAACATGAATCAAATGAAATAATTAATGCAATTCAATACAAAATAAATAGAACAAACATAAATCATGTTATGGATATGAATATCATATCCCAACTACCCACCTAGGAATCTACTAAGAGATAGAATCATAAGCATCTCAACAACTCTAAATAGTCAAACAACACAAGATAAGGATCACATCCCAACAGAAATGGAGTTGAATCCTATTGCAATTGGGGGAGCTCAAAAGGCCCAAGTCTAAAAGGGTAATCCTTATAAATAAGAGCCTAAGGACACCAGGTAAACACTTCTAACCTATTTACGAATACTGCCCACACTGTGCACACACCCACCCCTTGGCTAAAAGCCTATTGCTTATGCGCAGTGATTGGGACCTCGGCTATAAGCCTGGTATACACCTGATATGCATTATCTCTGAGCGCATACCTCACAGTATAGCAATACGGTCTATCCAAGACCTAACATTGGCGCCGTCTGTGGGAACGATAAATTTCGATTCCCATTCCACAATGACGAACACTCGTTCGACGTCCAGCACTGCCCAAATGGGCCGCCACACCAATCTCATCCTCAGCCTTATGGTATGCCGTCACACCAACCTGCATTGGAACAGCTCCAATCAGCCGTGACCCCTGTGCTAGTAGAGGTCCAGGTCGGACATGTCGGCACTCAAGGACTGCCCTCCAGAACCTAGCCCAACACGACAGCGGCCCCAATGCAACCACCTCCACATAGTGAACAATCCAGGGACATAACCACTGTGGCCATGAATGCGATCCTCCAAAGGATGCAGGAGATGGAGAACAGATTCTTGGCTCAACAAGGGCTGAATGCCCAGAGGATGGAGGCGCTGGAGGCTGAGCTGCGAAATCAAAACCTTGTGGGACGAGCTGGAGGAGCAGGCAGAGGTGGAAGAGAAGGCCGAGGTGGATGCGCAGGCCAGGCTAATGAGCCACAACATCAAAACGCGGCCACGACAAAAGGAAATATGCAGAATCCCCACCATGACAACCACCAGGAGGGCGGAGGACCAGTCAACAACAAAGGAGATAATTATCTCCTTGATGAGGAGGCTAACAATAGCCCATTCACTGAAAGGCTCATGAACTTGGCAATACCGCCGAGATTCAAGAGTGCCAAGATACCACCGTACGACAGAAGTCAAGACCCGGAGGCCCATTTAGAGGCTTTCAAGACCGAAATGTTATTCAATGGGATAACTGGACCTATCAAGGCCAGAATCTTCGCTGCGACGTTAACAGGCCAGGCAATGGCCTGGATAACCAGGCTTCCCAGGCACTCGATTGACTCGTTCGAGGACCTAGCCCGAACTTTTCGGTTGAATTTCGCAACAAGCAAGGCGCATCCAATGTCGGCCTATGCCTTGGGAAGAATCCGACAAAAGGAGAATGAATCATTGAGGAAATACCTCGATAGGTTCAAAGATGCCGCCCTAAAGGTTCAGAATTTAACTGAGCCAGTACACTTGCATCTGATCATCTCGGGATTAGATGGCGATTCTCCACTGGCAAAGTCAATTTACAAGAACCCGGTCAATGACTTGGAGGAGTTCCGACGAAGGTCGGACAAGTACATTGATGTCGAGGACATGCAGAAGGCTTATGGGGAATCTAGAGGTCGAAGCCCGAATCACGGGAGTCCGAGTAAGAAAAACAACAAAGACCGGGACCAGCGCGGATCGAAGAAATCGAAGGACACTCGTGATAAGAGGTCGGAAGATCTGTCTCCAAGGAGGAAATATGATGATTACACGCCCTTGAACATGTCCAGATCTCGGATATGGAAAGAGGTGGCCCAGACTGAAATGCGTAATGTCGAGAGACCTCGACCCCTCAAAGCCAAGAGTGGATTGGATAGAAACAAATACTGCGCCTTCCATGACTAGAACGGTCATATCACGGATGACTGCTGGGACCTCCGAGATGCCATCGAAAAGCACATCAGAAAGGGTGAATTAAAGCAGTACATCATCCAAACTCAGGGCAAGAAGAATAATAAGCGAAGGCAAAGAAACCGGAGCCAAAGTCGAAGCCTAAAGAGAGAGGACAGAAAGGATCAGAAACAAGACCGCCCTGCAAAGGGAAAAGAGGTCGAAGATAAAGATGAGTCTTTTCAAGAGGCTGAATTTGAATGCAACGTGATAAGCAGAGCTCTGGGAGGAGGAGGAGACACGGCCAATGCAAGAAGAAAGTACCTGAAGGAGGTCATGTCGGTAAGAGACAGGCCGACCTTCAAAGGGAAAGCCAGTAATCCTGCTCCCCCAAGATTGTTTTTCACTCAGGAGGAACTAGCAATGGTCGTACCCGGACACACCGACGGCTTGGTAATCACCGGAGTGCTAGTCAACTACCGGGTCAAGAGAATCTTTATTGATCATGGAAGCTTGACAGACATAATTCTCTGGGATGCTTTCCAGAGGATGAACCTGGACGAGAATGACTTGAAACCATGTGTCACCGAGCTGGTCGGGTTCAACGGAGCGGCGTCCCCTCCAAAAGGCTACATTGATTTGAAGATGACCTTAGGCACGAAGGATGCATTGTGAGCTGGAAGGGTTCGTTTTATCGTTATAGACACCTCGTCTTCCTACAACGTGATCATTGGCAGGCCTACAATCCATAAATGGGATATGTTGATCTCCACCAAGCATCAAGCACTGAAAATGCTAGGGGCGAATAACGAGATTATCACCATAAGAGGAGATTAGAAAGAATCTCGGGAGTGCTACTATGAGACCCTGCGGGTCCATCAAGGAGGTCCATCATCTCCCCCTCGGCTTAATAGTGGAGGAGCTAAGGACCAATCGCTAAAGGCATGTGGAAGCGAGGTAAACTTGATCGAACTCGACATGAGAGAGGAGCTCTAGGCACCTCGTCCAGAACCCCAGGGAGAATTGGAAGACGTCAATATTGGGAGGGACGGTAAAGGGCACACCAAGCCTGGAGGCAATTTTTAATAAGGAGCTAGTTTCCTTCTTAAAGGAAAACTCCGACGTATTCGCATGGAAGGCCTGGGAGATCCCAGGAATAGACCCAACTTTCTGTTGCCACAAGCTCTCCATGTACCCAGGATCGCAGCCAGTGTCCCAAAAGAAGAGGAAGATAGGATCTGATCGACGTCAAGCTTTAAGCGAACACGTCGACGAGCTGTTAGAAGCCAGATTCATCAAGGAGATACAATACACCACTTGGCTGTCTAACATAGTGATGGTGAAGAAACCAAGTGGGAAGTGGAGGATCTGCGTGCACTACACCGATCTCAATAAGGTCTGCCTAAAGGACTCGTACCTGATGCCAAGCATTGACCAACTAGTTGATAATTCATCTGGATTTCAGCTACTATCGTTCATGGATGCGTACTCTGGGTACAATCAAATCCTATTACACCCAGATGACCACGAAAAAACCGCCTTCATCTCAGAAAAAGGAAACTTTTGCTACAACGTCATGCATTTTGGTCTTAAAAATACGGGGGAGACCTATCAAAGGATGATGAACTGCATTTTTCAAGCGCAAATTGGAAGAAATCTAGAGGTATACATCGATGACATGATCGTCAAATCAATGCGCATATCGGCGCATATCGCCAACCTCAAGGAGACTTTTGAGCAACTAAGAGCTCGAAAGATCAAATTGAACCGGCCAAATGCGCTTTTGGGGTGCCAGCTGGAAAATTCCTAGGTTTCATGCTCACCAACCGAGGAATAGAAGTCAACCCCGACAAATGCAAGGCCGTCCTCGAGATGAAGCAGCCGGAAACCAAGAAAGAAATCCAACAGCTCACAGGTCGCCTTGCGGCCCTAACTAGGTTTTTTCCTAAGTCGGTAGAAAAAGCCTTGCCTTTCTTTAAGCTCCTTAAAAAAGAAGCGGAGTTCGGATGGGGTGAAGAATGCAAAAGGGCATTCGAAAATATAAAGAACTGCTTAGCCACACCTCCTGTACTGTCGAAACCAGAGCCCGGAGAAACGTTGATCTTATACTTGTCTGTGGGGGAAGAGGCCATCAGTGCCGCTCTGGTACGGGAGACCGACAAATCACAACAGCCGATCTACTTTGTAGGTTGGACATTGCAAGGACCAGAACTTCGTTACCAGAGGCTCGAAAAGGTTGCATTCGCCCTGCTTACCACGACAAGGAGGCTGCGACCTTATTTCCAAGGTCACTGAGTCATTGTGCGAACAAACCAACCCATCAGGCAAGTGCTACACAAGCCGGACCTAGCAGGAAGGATGATCAACTGGGTCGTCGAACTCTCCGAGTTCGACATATCGTATGAACCTCGACAGGCAATCAAGTCGCAGGTGTTGGCTGACTTCATCCTGAAGCTAACCTCATCCAAAGAAAAGGGACAAGGGAATGAAGATTTCTGGACAATATATGTCGACGGATCCTCAAACTCTAAGGGGAGCGGAGCCGGGGTGATAGTTGAAAGCCTGGAGGGAGTGTCCATTGAACACTCACTTCACCTAGTATTTTTGACCTCAAATAACCAAGCTGAATACGAGGCGTTCATCGTCGGGATCATGCAAGCCAAAGAGCACGGAGCCAGGAGGATAAAGATCCTGAGTGACTCACAGCTGGTTACGTCACAAGTTGAGGGAAAATATCAAGCTAAGGGTCCTCTCATGATGAAGTATCTCCAACAGGTTAAGGAGCTATTAGCCGAGTTCGACGAGGTGGTAATCTAGTACATACCTCGAAACGAAAATAGCAAGGCAGACATCCTATCAAAACTCGCCAGCTCGAAAGGCTCAGGAAACCATCGCACTGTAATACAATAGAACATCCTGGAGCTGACATGCATCATGGTGATAACCGAGACTGAGGATTGGAGAAGGCCAATAGTGGCCTACCTGGAAAAAGGAGTCCTGCTAGACAAAATATTAGAGGCCAGAAAACTCGTGAGGAACTCGGCCTGCTTTACCAGAGTAGAAGGGAAACTCTACAAAAAGAGGGTTTCTACACACCCATGCTGAAATGCCTAAATAAGAACGAAGCTGAGTATGTGTTGGCCGAGATCTATGAGGGCATAAATGGACATCACATGGGAGGAAAAGCTCTATCCAGAAAGGCACTAAGGGCCGGATACTACTGGCCTACGATGGAGGCGGGCGCGAAGGAACACGTCAGAAGGTGCGAGCAATGTCAGAAGCATGCGCTCATCCTTCGTGCTCCTCCCGAAGAGCTGCAAACCATTACGGCTTTATGGCCATTCTTCAAATGGGGGATGGACTTGCTGGGACCTTTCACCGCGGCTGAAGGACAGCTCAAATGGTTGATAATGGCAGCTGACTACTTCACCAAATCGATTGAGGCTGAACCCCTCACCACCATTACCTCGGCGAGAATACAGAGGTTCTTTGAAAGAAACCTGATTAGCCGATTTAGACTTCCCGCCGAGATCATCACGGACAACGGGACACAGTTCGCTGATAGAATGTTCCAGGAGTTAATGGCCGACTTCAAGATTACACATCGGTTTGCATCAGTAGAACATCCTCAGACCAACGGACAAGCCGAGTCTGCCAACAAGGTGATTATAAACGGGCTCAAGAAAAGGTTGTTCGAAGCCAAAGGAAATTAGGTGCAACAATTACACCTCGCCTTGTGGGGTTACAGAACAAGCACCTAATTCGCCACAGAAGAAACCCCCTTCAAGCTGACATATGGGTGCAAGGCCATGATTCCGGTGGAAATCGACGAACCATCTTGGAGGAGGGTATAAAGATTACGAGGAACTGAAAGTCAAAACAGAGAGGCACCTAGTGTAGAACTCGACCTATTGGATGAATGCAGGGAGAACGCCAGATATAAGAATATGATGGCGAAGCGCCTAGTAACTGCTAGATTCAATAAGAAGGTCAGACCTCGGTCATTTCAGAGTGGCGACCTGGTGCTAAGAAGAGCCGACATCGGCAATAAGAATGCCAGAGATGGAAAGCTCGCTGCAAACTGGGAAGGCCCCTACAAAGTTAAAGAAAACTTGGGAAAGGGAGCCTACACCTTGGAAACTATCTCCAAGAAGCTAGTAAAGAGAACTTGGAACGCGGACAAGCTGAAGGTCTACTATAGTTAGGCCTGAAGTCTGACTTTCGAGATAATAAGACGAGCTCTCAAGCTCAGTCAGTAGATAGATTTATCTCTACGCAAATAACACGAGCTCTTAAGTTCAGTCAGTAGGTAGATTTATTTCAAAGCAAATAAAATTAGCTTGATAAACCCTTGGTTCATTAGGTTTTTAAGCATGAATTAATATCAATTTGTGTGATTAAATGGATGGAAAAGAGGGTTAATGTCCTAGAAAGTCCTAAATACAAGTTCTGAAGCTTATGTTGAAAATTTACATTGTTCTTGTAGGAAAATGAAGCTCAAGAAGCAACAGAGAGAAAGAAGAAGATTCTGAAGAAAGGGAGAATGCTCAAGTGTTGAGCGGTAAAACATCCACAAAGAACGTTTTAGCGCGCTGCTGCAAACTGAAGGCAAAAGTTGCTGGTGCCGAGCACTAAAACGTCCAACACTGAAAGTTTTAGTGCGCTGCTGCAATCTGAGGACAAAAGTTGCTGGTCTTGGGCGCTAAAACTTCCTGATCAAACGTTTTAGCGCCCTGCTGTTGGAAAAAGACTCTGGTCTTGAACGCTAAAATGCCCAAGTCAAACGTTTTAGCATTGGAATCAGTTAAAAGCAGTTGGGCATCCGTCAAACATGGACGCTAAAACGCCCATCAATGAACGTTTTAGCGCCCATGGCAGTTTTCAGTTGTATTTTGTAACTCTATAAAAGGCAAGGGCCTTCACATTCTGATATAATCCCACATATCCCATATATTCTCTCAGATTCTAATCTGACCTCGCCCATCACACTAGGAGAGGGGAGATCAGATCAGATCTTTCATAGATCTGATCTGACTCTTTATTCTCTCTGAATTTCCAAATTCCTTAGGTTAGTTTATGTAATAGTTAGTATTTCATATGTAATTATACTTGGAGATTGAAGACTCAACTATCATGACAATAGAGTTTGATCTATATTTCTTCTCTTTTTTGTATTTCAATTATGTCTGAGTAGAGTCCTTTGTAGTCTGATTCAATGGAACTCAAGTTTGAATTTATGAATGGTTAATTAGATGTTATGTTTATCTATTATGTGATTGTATGAAGTTGTCTTGATTAAATTCTTCATGTTAAGGAGTAGTGTAGAACAGACATGTTTACATTGTTTCTATATTTGACAACTTCATCATCAGTGTTCTAGTAGTCAAGACATTCATGCTAGGATTTCTGATGTGATCTTAAGACCTTAGTAATTAATGCATGTATTAAGAAGGGAATCACCAAGATATTGGGTTTTCTGATTAATGTATCTATCAAGGTAGTAAGACATTACATCTTGATGATAAGAAAAAGGTTGATCAACATCACATAGTAGATAATTCATAATGGAAATTGGTTCATCCATAAATTCATGCTTGAGGGAAATTGACATCTGACTACTTGTTTACATTATAATTCACATTTTATTTGCTTATTAAGTTTTAATACAATTCAAC